TGTTGAAATTATGGTGAATAATGGTGGGGGCAATGGTGAGGGGGTTCAAGTTTATTAACGAGCCTTTAAATTATAATGTTCACACAAATAAAAGATTTTACATGATTATAATTTCACAAATCTCTGTAATTCTTATTATCAGGAAGTGGATGTTCAATTGAAGCTCGTAAAAGATGTGCTTTTTAAGAAAGTTCAGGAGTTACAGACTGAGACAATGAAAGAAAAAGCTGTTGTTTCAGAAATTGAAGGAACCCGTTCCTCTCTAAAACATCTCAACCATCAGTTACGTAGACTGGATTTTGAAACCTTAAAGCAGCAAGAAATTATGTACAGTCAGGTAGATGTTAATTTTGTGACTATCTTCCGTATTGATTTGTTATAGCTGTGATAGTCAAGATACCCTAATGTCTTAAGAAAACAAAGATTTCTACTCTTTTGGAGGATAGACAGATGCTGAAGATTCCACCTGTCTGCTATGTCTGTATGTATGTCATGTTAGGTCAGTAGCAGGGTGGGGAGTCTTAAATGCTGTTTTTTTCTCTATCTGAAATAAACAGGCAAGAGGAGAGGCAACTTTAGTGAGGGAGAACTGTACGTTAAAGGAACATGGGACAACTGAACCCCGAGTGAAACAAAAGAAGGCCTGGGATAGCTGAAACCTAGAGAAACTGTGTTGGTTCTTAGTTGTGCAAACAGCCACTCCCACCCCCATCCCCAGGCCAATAGAGTAAAAGTACTTTTTCAGATTTTCTTTATTTTGTTCTATTTATATATTCATAGTAATTTCTTTTTTTATTTGTATATTCATAGTAATTTCTTCATGTCCTTCCTCTCTAAATCTTTATTTTGTCATCTAATATATTCTTAGTTTCTCAAAATTACAGATGCTAAAGTATAATTTTAAGAATAATTCATTAGAAGTTCGTCATATTTGGACCTTTCATGGCTAACAATTTGTAACTATCTTTTTTTGCATCCCTTAGAAGATGTACTCTGAAAAATTCACGTCCATGTAAATCCATACTTCCATCACGGTAGCATGATATGCATCCCCCCGAGGTGTTACATTTTAGGGATATTACTTCTGTGTCTATCATGTACCCTAATTGTTGAAGAATAGTTTATCTTTGTTCCTCCTAGAGTAAGAAGAATTTTATCCTGAATTACTGAAGGACTAAAGTGCCTTTACTAAATGATGATGCCCAGACCAAATGCATAA